TATAAATTTCTGAATTATGTCATAATTCCAAACAATTGTCTTTATTCCAGAAGGAAAATCAAGAATATATTTAAATTTTTTCCTATAGAATTTCAGAAACACAATTCTTCATGACTCTCTCTATGCCTAGGATTTGGACTTGCGTAGATGCTGTGAGAGATAACTACAAAGATAAATCAGTGAACCATGCCCTCTGGGTGTTTACAGTCAAGCAAAGATGATAAGAAATGTAGATAGATAACAACGATACAAAGTAGAAAGTGATAATTACTGTAAGAGGACTGAGATAATGTGTAGTCCTGTGGGAGTTCTGAAGAAAAGGCATATATCTAGAAGTAATGATTGAAGCTAGAGGAGAGAGAAGGAAGGAGTAAAGGAAAGAAGGAAGGGAGGGAGGAAGGGAGGGAGGAATGGAGAGAGGAAATCCTGGGAAAATCTGGAATGAGTGGGGGTGGGCAGAGGAGGGAGGATATCCAAGGAGACCATGGGCAAGAGACTGGTCAGTTCAAAATGCGGACACATGTAGGCTATGGGTACTACCTGGAGAGGCTCTGAAAATCATCCAAATGTGCTGTGAGTCAATGCCCATGGGGCTCATCCTCCTCCCCACCAGGGTTCAAGAGGGAAGACTTTAGTAAATGAGAGGCCACCGTCCTCTTGAAGAGACAGGAGTGGAATGGAAAATGACACTCAGAGAGCTAGGCCTGGACGACTGTGCGATGTTAGTAATGAGCTCCCGTAGGGGAAGGAGAGACGCTGAGTATAGGGTTCTCTCTCAAGTCTCTAGTATTTCCGTAAATAGGATTTTTGTTTTGTTTCGTTTTAAAGAAAACAGAGACAGTAGATTGAAAGTGGAATTTTTTTATTGTTTGTTGTTGAAAACAGTTGAGCTATTTATGTTTTGAAGATATAAGAATTAATACAACAAAGTCACAGCTCTTAAGTGCAATAAGAGAGATAGAAAAGTTACCATGTATTTGTGACCTGGAGCGGCACACTGTTGTGGGATCACAGAGGACAACCGCTATCCTGCAGAATCAGCAAGACTTCATGAAAGAAATAATTGGTTTTGTAGTGCATACAGGGATTGTTGGCTGCCGGGAGGTTAGATAGCAGGAAAACTGTGGTGGAATCAATTGGCCCAGTTTCATAGCCACATCCAGTGATGTTGGCACTAGGAGGGCAGGAACACCAAAGGCAGATGCTGGTATTTTACCTGGGTTAGGGTTATGGCAAAACTAATGTACATGAAAGGGCCAGGAACCTAAGATTCTAGCCTTAGTGACTGAAATGGCTGCCCATGGGGGTCAGTGTGGTAAGGTAAGCAAGTCAGAAGACAAATGAAAGAAGAAAGCAGGGAAGAAAGCAAAATCAAAGAGATGGTGAGAAACTGGAGTAAGAACCACCAGACAGGTGGTTTTGTCCTTTTCACATCCTCAGGAAATCTGGTGACACATGAAAGAGAGCTCATCTTATCCCTTGGGACCTCTGATCCGGTGTTCAAATGTGAGCGTGAAGCCTGGTGTGATGAGGTGCTAACAAAAGTCTGTGTGTAAGAACAGCTGCAGAACCTTCTGTGAAAGAATTCATCCCAAGAAAACAGAATTCAGGCTAGATGAACTTGAACTAGAATTGAATCATCCAGGGGCTTGGGAGTCTGAGTTCTGCATGGAAGCATTACTGTAACCTATTCCCAGATCAGTCCCTTGGATGCAGGTCCATGCAGGAAAGAGACTGTAGGAAAAACTGAGTGGTATCTATACAACACTGAGGCTGCTTGGGGACTTGTCTGTGTAGCACCAAGATGGGCATTTTACTCTCCACTTTTCCACAGGCTATCTCTGAGCTTGGACATCATGAGGACCCCAGTGCTCTAGTGATAGTGTTTGGCAGAGAACATGGCACCCAGAGGAGCTGAGGCATATTCAGTGGGCATCTGTTCATGAACACAGGTTCTACACCACCAGTGGGCCCAGAGAGACCTTTCAAAGTGGGTCTGGAGGAGGGCTGTATTCCTGTCAATGGCCAGGAAAGGCCAGTGGATTTTGGGTTTTTCACTGTCTCCAGAAAGGCAGAAGAATTCAAAATTTTCCACTCTAGATTTATATAGATTGACTTTGTAACTTATTAGCTCTGTGAACTTTATCAGGTTATTTAAGTATTTGAGTTTGCTTCCGGAGGTACATTGGTACATTTACCACCACAGGTCAACAGAGTAGATTAGAAACTGAATGTACATCTTTAACATGTGGCAGAGTCAGACCACACACAGCATTCCTTCTGCCTGAAGGTGCTTCCTCATCACTCCTGCTGACTCTTACTCATCTTAAATGTAGATGTCCTATTTCAGAGAAGTCATTCCTGGGCCTCCGCTATCAGACTCTGGATTGCTACCCAACATTCATTCCCACCTTCTCCTTTTTGTTCTGGTAGCAACTCCTCAAAGAACACAATCCTGAAGAGTTCAGGGGCAAATGCTGAAGAATGTAAGGCAATTACAGTAATCCTTCCTCCATTCCCAGCATTTAGGCATGGGCATGTAATTCAGTTTGGACTAATGACAGGTGAAAAGATGTCTACTTGGAGCTAATGAGAAAGATTTCCCCACTCTTCAAAAAAGACACACTCTGCTACCATTGGGCATTGTCAGGATTGGCTGTTATAATGGGGCCGGTCCAGCCATCCTGGGAACATGGGGGATGGGAGAGGGAATAAAGGAAACAGCCCAGGCCTTCCCTGACATGACCAAGTTGCTGAATTCACCAGCTAGAGCCTCTGGACCTTGGAACTTCCAGCTATATGAAACTATAAATTTCCTTATCATTCAAGACATTTTAAATTGGGTTAATTATTAATTGCAGCCTTCCACATCTAAATTATGACCCCATATTTCTTACTCTCATATTTTCCTTCATAGCATTTATCACATATACAGTTTCTTTTGTGTATATTTGTTTGATGTCTCTTTCCTCACTGGATTGTAGATTCTAAACTCCTGAGACCATTTGTTGATTTTGTTCACAATTAAATTCCCAGATTTTAGCACCAGATCTGAGGCCTGGGAGCTGCTCGAGCACATTTGTTGAAAGAATGCATAAAGGGTTCAAAAGTGGTCCCTTTTCTCCTCCTCCTCCTCCTGGACTGCCTCCTTGTTCTCTACAATTCAGCATAGTGTTGCTGACAGAGAACAGGACCACTCGGAAAGAACCTATGTTCCCTCTCAAACTCTAACTAATTGGGTGGCCCTGGGCAGTAGCCTGCACTACATCAATGGCTTTCAAGTTTTTACCTTAAGAACAGTAGGAAAACACATATTACATGGCTGACCCGGTACATACATATTTAACTGAAACGAAAGATTTATAGAGCATACTCTTACAGTTGTGTAATGTACTCTGGTGTTTTTATTTTATTTCATTAAAAAAAATGCAAGCTTTGACCCAATACATCAGTTTTTGGACCCATTAATTAGCAACTCACAGTTCTTCCTAACACCCCTCTCCAAAGAAACTGGTCTAAATGAAATGTATGGACTTTGAAAATCTTTGATTTTATTTTCTTTGCTGTTAAACTGTATAATAACATCTAGTCCATTGACTTAAAAGTCTACTGTTACAGTAGCTTAATTATTTTCCCTTTTCCTGTGGAATTCTTCCCCATCCCCATCTGCTCTGTGTGGGCTATTTTGAAGACCTGTATTAAATGGCACATGTTCATGAAAAGTACTCTGTATATTTTTTTTCCCAGTTAACACAAAAACAAACAAGACTACAGTCTTCCTCCTCTGAAATGTAATGGCCCTATTCGACATACTTATGTGGGCCTCATTTCTATATGTTTATGTATATACTAGTGCCCACCAGTGTTACACGAGACCCACTGCTACCACGTGGCTTAAAACCCAAGAGAGTTGGGTTCTAACATTCTCCAGAAGCAAGGTGGAGAATAGACCCTCACTGTACTTCCCATCCCTCAACACTAAACTGCCCTTGTCCTCCTGGATTTGCCAGTGAAATTCCTCGGGGGGCAAGAGGAAAGGGAGAAAGCCACACGAAGGTCTCACAACTCCGGGGCACAGCAAATAATGCGGTGGGGATACATATATTTAGAAAACCATAGTGCAAGCCTCAGGAACAAACATGTAATCAAAAGGCGACGGGGAGTGCTTGGGTGATCAAGAAAGCTCCCTGCCAGAGGACATTCAGATTCCGAAGGAGGGTATAATTTCTGCCCCTTGAAACTTGGTTCAAACCACTGCCCTGGCATCACGTGAACTGGCAAACTGGATCCAGTTATGGCTTCAGAGTCCGGGAAGAGAGCTGCGCCAAGCTGCTCCGGGGTCACGTTATCTTCCTTAAGGGCACTGGTGTGACAGAAGAGGGCCCATCCAGGGTTCGTGCGCCTGTTTGCGCTCTGGGAGGGGAGGCCAAACGGGAGAGGGCTCGCAGTGAAAACAGACTGGCGGGGTGGGGGCAAGGGAGGGGACGGAAAAGAGGAACACCTCCCTGAACTTTCCTCTCCCCTCGTCCCACACACTTGAAATAGAAATAATAACAACATGGGAAAAATGCTTACAACCACGATGTTATCTCTGTACTTAAGTTGCCTCACTCTGGAAGGTATAAGGTATAAAGTGCAGATTGCGGCTATCGCCGCCGGTTGGTCTTGGAAGTGAAGGTTCGAGCTGGTGTGGGTGCGCGCGCGGGTGACCCCACTTTTAGGGTAGCCGGCTCCCTGCTCTTCCACGCCAAAGCGCGGGCTGACCCCTGTCCCCCTTCCTGTTCCTCCTCTCCTCCCTCTTTCCTTCCCCTCCCCTCCCGCCTCGTGCGCGTCTCCTCTGCACCGGCCCCCACGGAGGAGGCAGGCGGCAGCACCGACTCGGCCGCAGCTCCTGCTCACGGCGCGCTCGCCCGCGCTGCCCCGGCTCCCTCGTCGCCTGAGCGGCGGTGCGGGCAGCTCCCGGCCCGCGCGGCACGCCCTGCGCACGGCCGGGGCGGGCTGAGCTGACCTGCCCTGGGATCGGGCACTGGAGGCTGCTGGGGAGGGCGGCGTGGGAGAGGACGCAGAGACGCAGGGGCGGCCGCACCGGGGTGACAAGCTGCGCACCTGGAAAGTTACCGGGCTGTCTGGTGAGGTTCTCGGGCTAGGGGCTCGGGGGCGGGAGGCCTCGGGAGGGACAGGGTCGCAGTACGAGAGTGTGCATGCTGTGCGCGCCTTGCACGCTGTGCGCCTCTGTTCCACACCCAGCCAGTCTCGTTCCCGTGCTGTTTGCGTGTGGACGTGTGCACGCGTTGCGTTCGCTTGGTGTGGCAGCTATTTCGGAGCTCCTGGACTCAGGGAAGGCTACTTGATTTTAAGCAGGTTGGCCAGGGGAGGAAAGGGAGAGAGGGGAGAGCGCAGCCCCAGCTGGAATTCCTGGGGGTTCTCAATGCCTTTAGCACCGGAGCAGCCCTGGAGACTTGCTCTGGGCAGGAGGCTTGGCACTGTTGTCAGGGTGTGCGCCCCAGGCTCCGCTTGTTGGGGTTCTGGGTAGCTGCTAGAAGACAGTACTCACGCAAGGACTTTAGGAGTCCTTGTAAACTTGTGAGGGTGTCCTGTGGCACTCCCAGCACCATGAGGCGCTTTCCGTGCTCTGTATTTCCAGGTGATGAAAAAGCAAGAGCAAACACATAAGAACAAGTCAGCCACTTTGGGAATGAGAGAAAAAGCAATGGGTTAGAGTATGAGAAAAACTAGGAAGCATTTGAGAATAGAAAGAAACAATGCAGGCAGAATTAACAGGTAGAAAGACCTTGGTTTCCATATTTTCATCTTGTCCCTGAAGTTTCCAGAGACTTTTTTTATAAAGGAAGAGAGCAGCATACACCTGCCCCTCCCCCCAGTTCCTTAGAAATTATTTTTTTCATTTTTTTATTCTGGCACTTTTTTTTTTTTTTTTTTTTTTTGCAAGGTGATCATCCCACATACAGCCAGTACCGCTGTTTAATTTTATACAGGAGGAGCTAATATCCTGCAGGAGTCTGTAGAATTGGAGGCCATCCTCTCCATTGGAACATTGTGCGTCTCAAAATAAAGGACATAAAAGATAGTGCAGCGAGATCTTTCACTTTTATGTGAAATAGTCCACTTCAGTATTCTGAAATCCTTACAAGTGAGGCTAATTCACCTCATAGTGAAGGCATTTGTTGCCTGGATGTTGTCCAAGTCTTTTGATCCCATATTGTCTTGCTTCCACCAGGCCAGTGATTTTCAACTGGTGTGCGGCAGGAATAGAATACTTAAGACATGCAGTGCTGCCCAGCTGGTGTGGCTCAGTGGATTGAGCATCCTGCCATGGATTGCGTGGTCCTGGTTTGATTCCTGGTCAGGACATGCCCCGGTTGGGGCTGTCCGGCTCAATCCCCAGTGGGGGACCTGCAAGAGGAAGCCTATCAAGGTTTCTCTCACATCCATATTTCTATCTCTCCCTTCCTCACTCTCTAAACAAATCAATAAAAACATTAAAAAAACAAAACAAAAACATGCAATGTTGGCTGCTTAATCCGGAGCACTGACCCCTTTTCCCTTAGATTGTCAAATAAAAAAATGACAGCAGCCAACACAATAGCTGTTCCATGTGAATGAATAAGAGTTATACCTATTTTTTTGGTCAGATCAGTAAAAAATATATTTTTTGGTGTGCTGTAGAATTGTAGTAATTAGTTTATTTGTGCCATGAGATAAAAAGCGTTGACATCACTGCTCTAGGTCATTTTTCTACTAATTTCCCCCCTTTTCCCTGTTTTCATTTTCCTTTATCTTCACTGGTTCACTATTCTAGCCTTACAAATAACTCTCAATCAGTTTCCACTATTCAAAAAATCCATTTCGTGAACCATGATATTGCCTTGAAGTCCCTACTCTGAGCCTTGGCCCTTCCCATGGTCCTTTGTAATGCAGTTTCTATTCCAGCTCTTCCATGAAAGGCTAAATTTAGTGTTTTCCCTCCTCTAATCTCATTTGCTTTGCTATGCCTGTGGGCTGTGAACTGTAGCCTGCTCACCTCTTGAAAATTTTGATCTCTTAATTGTACATCTTTGTTATTTGCTTCTCCTCCTTGTCCTGTTTACCTATAACTAATACCCACGTAGATCATTCTAAGTGTACATACACAATAGTAGAGGCACCCTTTGCTCAGTGATCTCCTTTATGAGTGGAACTGCAATTCGTACCTCTGTAAAGAGGTATCATGCCTTGACCTTTCTTTTTTGTTACTATCTGCTAGACATTTTCACCTTGATGACTCATAACACCTCAAACTCAACATATGATTTATTACTGTCTCCATAAAGCATACTCATTTCCTGAACTTTGGTCACTGTCACCCCATACATTGTACTCTGTTCAGTTTTGAATAAATGAATGCCTTCAAGTCTTCCTAGATCAAAACATGAGAATCATGTTTGACTCTCCATTTAATCACCACATTTAGAGTTGCTGCCCCTGCAGCATCTCTCCCATCCTTCTCACCTTTTACTGTTAGTCCCTCCAGATCCTCTCTCACATCTGCCAAAGCAATAACTTCTTACCCTAGTTCTCGTTTTTCTTTCAGACTTCAGAGAGCCCTAGACACTCTTCCTCTCCTCATTGCCAATCTCCTGGGCACGTTCATCTCCATATTTATAGATGACTAAATATAGCAGGCTAATTTTTACATTGATAATTTTTATGGCCCACAAATGATGTTATAAATATCCAAATGGCCCTTGGCAGAATAAAGGTTTCCCACCCCTGATTCAGTCTACTTCTGTATCAGTGATTGCTAAGTATTTTCATTTCCTCTCTTGTCTTTTTCTAGTCTTTAATTTCTTACTGCTTACTGAACTCCTCAATCCTAAAATTTCCACAGGTCCCTCAAACTGAGCATGTCCAAAATTAAATTTACTATCTTATCCCTTAAAATCTGCTCCTCATTTTGATTAATGACATCACCTCTTACCCAGTTGCCACAATGGAAACTTCCAAATCTTTACTGTTTCTTTTTATCCCCACTCACATTCTATAAGCTCCAGTCTCCTGACCTACATCTATAAAATTATATTTCTCCTTGTTCGCCTGTTTATCTGATTCTGTATCACTCCAAAGTAGCTGAATAGAATGCCACCAAATGTGGCAGTGAACATATAGGATATGTGGCAATTCTAAAACTCACTGTGAACATTATGCTGGGGGTGGAGCACTTCAAACAGACAGCCAACCTCTGGAGTAGCTGGAACTGTACCGTGAAAAGCTTGTATGACTGCCTGACAAGAGAACATTACTTTCCAAATGAAGATGCTGTGGACAGAGAAAACAAGCAATAGACTCAAACCTGAGTTCCAGGTTAAGGGTCACAGGATCAGGTGGACAGATATTTTCATTGTGGCAATAACAGGAAATTGCACTATTTCACACAGGGAAAACTTCGTGTGGTTTGCTTCAGGGAAGAGAAGCAGGGATTTATATTTTCAATGATGGCTAATTATCTTCTAAAATAACTTAGGTGAAACAAAGTGAAGGTTAACACCAAATGCATCTTTCATATGTTCTTAGAAGACTATCTGCAAAAACCTGTATAATTAGGCCTCTGGTTCCAGGCTACAGTGCCCATATCATGAAAAAGAATCTCTTCCACTTTTCATGATTTATTGAAAGGAAGGAAATTGCAGAGTTATCTATAACTGTGTTTTGTCTTTTTTTTTAACCAAATTTTCTATAATAATGTTTTTCTCTGCTGGCTACCATGGAGATGATTCTTTTTTTTCCTTGAGTTCAAGAAGTCCATTAGAAGAAGGTTAGAACTCTTTTGGGCCATAATCCGGGTCCCATCACCTCCTCCTTGGATTGAGGCAGTAGCCTTTTACTTTGTCTTTCTTCCTCCAAACTCTTTACTCCATTCTGTATTTGTTACCAAGAAAGTTATTTTTCTAAAGGACAGACCTGACCACATCACTTGAAAGAAACTTGACCTACACTAAAATCTAGATACCATAACATGGCATATGATGAAGTTTTTTAATATCTTACTTTTTCAGCTTCATTTCTCTTTACTCTCTCCACATCATGCATTTCAGCCTGTTCCCTATTTTTTTTTTTAATAATCAACTTTATTTTTTAGAGTAGTTTTAGGTTTATAGAAAAATTAGGTGAAAAGTAGAGAGAGTTTCCACATACTCTTCTTCTGCCGTCCTTTTGCCCATTCTTAATATCTTGCATTAGTGTGGTACATTTGTTATAATTGACGTACCAACATTGATGCATTACTATTAACTAAAGTGCGTATTTTACAATAGGGTTCATTTTTTGTGTTGTACATTCTATGGGTTTGGACAAATATGTGAAGATATGTATCCACCATTACAATATCATACAGAATAGTTTCACTGCTCTAAGACTGACCTGTGCTGTACTTATTCACTCCTTCCTTCCTCTGCCCAAGTCCCTGGCCACCACTGATCTTTTTACTGTCTCCACGTTTTGTCATTTTCAGAATATCGTATGGTTGGGATCATACACTATGTAGGTTTCTCAGATTGACTTCTTTCACTTAGTACTATGCATTAAAAGTTCCTCCATGCTCGATAGTTATTACTTTGCATCACTGAATAATATTTAATTGCCTGAATGTACCAATTTGTTTATCCATCCATCCATTTGAAGAACATCTTGGTTGCTTCCAAGTTTTGGCAATTATGAATAAAGCTGCTATAAACATCCATGTGTAGGTTTTGGTGTGGATATATGTTTTCATATCTGTTGGATAAATACCAGGGAACATGATTGATGGATTATATGATTACTTAGATTTGTAAGAAACTGCTAAACTGTTTTCTCAAGTGGCTGTGTCATTTCGCATTCCCAATGACCATGAATGAGAATTCCTACTGCTCCACTTCCTCTTGAGCTTTAGGTGTTGTCAGTATTTTGGCCATTCTAATAAGTGTGTAGTGGTATCTCATTGTTGTTTTAACTTGAGATGATCTAATTTCAAATGATGTTGAGCATCTTTTTATATCCTTTTTTACCATATGTTTATCTTCTGTGGTGAGGTGTCTGTTTATATTTTTGCCCATTTTTCAGCTGGTTATTTTCTGTAGGTTTGGACAAATATGTACAGATATGTCTTCACTATGTCGAGTGTTAAGAGTTCTTTGTATGTTTTGGATATCGGTCCTTTATTTGATATGTGTTCTGCAAATCCTTTCTTCTAATTCATGGCTCTTGTTTCATTCTCTTAATAGTGTCTTTTGCAAAGTAGACATTTTTTATTTTAATGAAGTCCAACCTACCAATTTTTTTATGGATTGTGCTTTTGGTATTTTATCTAAAAACATCATTAAACCCAAGATCACTTAGATTTTCTTCTATATTTTATAGTTTTTTTGTTTTACATTTAGGTCTTTGATCCATTTTGAGCTAATTTTTGTGATAAATATAAGGTCTGTGTTTAGATTTTTTTTACATATAGGATGCCCAGTTGTTCCAATATAATTTGTTAAAACTATCCCTAATTATTGAATTGCCTTCATTCCTTTGTCAAAGATCAGTTGACTGTTTGTGTGGGTCTGTTTCTGTGCTCTCTATTCTGTACCATTGATCTATGTGTCTGTTCTTTCACCAATACCACACTGTGTTGATCATTGCAGCCTTGTAGTAAGTCTTGATGTCTGGTAGTACCAGCACTCTGACTTTGTTCTTTTATAATATTGTGTTGGTGTAGTACATATTTTTTGAACAATATGGTTTTCTACTAAGATGAGTTATTTTGTTGGGTAAATAATGTTACAGTAATAATAATAGTAATATTTAATATTTAGTGAACACACTCTATATGTCAGGCACTGTGCTAAATTCTTGTTATGGTTTATGTCATTTAACCTTCTAGTGGCTCTAAGTAATGTACAATAATATTTTACCTCTCTGCCTATTGATATTTATTGTTTATAAATCTCTCTCTTCTATTATTGACACTCAACCTCAAAATTGTGCCAAAGGGCACAAAAATACTAAGTGTAAATGATTGGATTGGGACTCTGGCTCTATAACCTTAGCTGGCACTATACCACGTCCTGTATTTACAGATATACAAAAATGGATAAATGTGTGTGTGTGTATTTTTATATCAGACTCCAGATGGGTAGAGAGAGAAATAGATATTTTCTAGATCAGAGCCAAGATTTTGGTTTCCAACTACCTCGGGGCTCAAGGAAAAACAGACAACATAGTCTGATGCCTCCCACACTGGCTGCCACGAGTTAATCTGCCTGTGGGAGCCTCACAGTAAGTTTTGCTTTTCCGGAGTCTTTTCTAGTTACCTCTTATAGATGACATTTCTTAAATAGTGATTAAATTAATGTAATAATAATTGATCATCTTATATAGTTCTCCTCTCTTCTTGCTAAAGGCCACCTCTCATTCTGTTCCTCTCTCTTGTCTAGGCAGCAGAATACTGCTTCCACAGTGAACCATGTCTTCTTCTGTTGCCTTCAAAGATAACTGGGCGGGTCCTTTTGAAATAAGTAGTTTACAGCAATACCTGTAAATAGATAGAGGCTACATGAGGGCATCACAAAGGAGGAGTCCTGGAACTTGGGCTGGGTCATTCATGAAGTTTCTTTCTCTATCTTTTGGCAGGTTTCCCTTAATAGAGAAGGTTTCCCAGCCTGTTTGTTCCAGAATGACTTCTTTTCTTTTTTTTTTTTTTAAGAAAGATAATTTTATTTGGAATGAAAATATAGAGCCCACTCCAATGACTTATTTTTTTAATGAAAGATATAATTTAGGCAAAGAAGATATAATTTAGGCAAAGAGTCCCTCTCCCCCAGGGGAATAATGTGCATCTTTAAAGACCTCTCATCTGGAAGACCAGTAGTTTACCAGACTGCTGTGTCACCCAGCAGTGATCCCCCTGGTCATTTCCTTAGGCAAGACACTAGTGCCTTGTCTCTTCACTCAGTGGGAAAGCTACTGGGTGCCAACTACATGGCAGACATTGCTTGCGAAGCCTTACGAACATAGTAATCCATATATCCATTTCCAGATTAAGAAACCGACGATTCTAAGTAATTTATAGAAGATTACACAGCGGGGGAAGAACAGATAGTTTTTCTACCCTGGATAGCCACCTTTCATTGCTCTTGTTAAATCCTGATCTTGATCTCCAAGCTCATTTATTACTTTATGTACTGCCTTCTGATTACAGTGATACCTCGGTTCTCGAATGCCTCGGTTTTCGACCAAATCGGTATTCGACCAGGAGATTCGAGAAACTTTTGTCTCGGAATCCGAACAAATATTTGGAACTCGAACTTCCGAGATGAGCCGAGTTGAGCCGAATGGCGTTCATTCGGCCCAGCGCGCCTTGCTTGCGCCATCAGTGTGAGTGCAGAGAGAGAGTCACGCTTTGTGGAGTCACGCTTTCCTATTGGTTTCATTGCTTTGGTTCTCGAACAATTCGGTTCTCGACCGTCCTCCTGGAACGAATTATGTTCGAGAACCGAGGTATCACTGTATAAGAATGATTCTAATAACCTGGAATGGCCAGGTTGATGGAGGAGCATCCTATGGCTTGTTTCTCCTTGTGGCTAACAATACATATTTGAGGAATGGCCTATCTGTCTCAGTGACTGATATAGGAAACCGTGAATCCAATTAGGTTTTATGAAGCCAGACACTCAAAGCCTTGGCTTGAGGGACAATAAAATTGAAATGAGTGAACTCACTAAGAAATCCAATGTCTGTTGAGCCTTTTGGTAACTTATATACCTTAAATTAGTGATTTGAAAGATAAGTTGCTCTCATTTCACCTCTTTGGAATTCTAAATACCTTGAAAGATTTATGCAGCTTTGAAAATGACTTCATTAAAAGCAGAGAAGAGTTGGTATTTTGGGAGAATTTAACATCTTCTACTTAATTGTGCTGATTCAGGTTTGTAAAATTACTGGATTGGCACAGAATGTTTTGAACGCCATACGTAGAACAAAAACGATTTTAAGCCTTTTCATATTTAGGATTCTAGATCTGTTTTCTGTGCCAAATCTGACAGAAAATTCATGGAGCTATGCCCCTGATATAGTACATGACAGGTCTTAGTTAATAATTGTTCGACAAATAAAAAAATGAGTTGTTAGTTTAATATTAGATTTAATACTTCTTGTGTTCACTTTTGATTTATTTATAGGGCAGTCTCTTTCTCCCCAACTCCTTTCCTTTCATCCTGCCTTGGTTTAGGAATGCTAGTCCATGAACCAAAAATGTGTGTGTGGAAGATGACTCATAGCTACCGGTTAAAAACTTGTGCCCACATTCATTGCAGATACCTTTGGGGGACACCCTTCTTATGTTGCCTGTCATTCAGAATCTCATTCAAGGTTATTCTTAGGCCCCAATCTAACATCTTCTGAATTGCTTATCTGGGATACAAGGGTTGTCCAGGGTTACTTCTATGAATTCTATTCTCCTCAATATTTTTATATATTCTTAATATCTAAGAACAGTAAATGCTGCCAAGTCAACAGATATTTAAAGGTTAAACCTGCCACATCTTTGCTACATATAAGGGCAATTCTCTGAAGATTAATGTTTATTCATGAGTGCTTGGAACCTGACTTGGATGGACAATATCTGAGTATTGCAAGATTACTTTTATGAGTACATTTAGTTTCTGTTTGTTCCATCCATCTTAGGCCACCTGCATTGGTGATGTGGCTGCATCCGTTTGAAACTTAGAGGCTGTGTTACATCTGTGTCTTTATTGTGTAGAGGTCATGATTATTCTGGTAGAGCTAGTGAAATGAGTCTAAGAATTTCATTTGTCTCTGGGTTTGAAATTTGGAGGGAGAGAGGGGCAGGAATGTGTGGGTTATGTGACTTCAAAGCCTCACCTGTTTCTTCGGATTCGATAATGAGAGGTAATTAAACTTAGTTTATAAGTGTTATCATGCTTCTTGGGTTCTGGCTGTCAAAAACTGCACATGCAGAAGTGTGAAGGTGAAATAGGTAACCCAAAAAGACTTAAACTTATCCCAATTAATTCAAGCAGTATTTTCCCAACTTCACCCTGTCCAGTTCCTTTTGATTTTGCTCGCATGTGCTTATTATCTGCAGATGATTTATTTTCTATTTTTACTGAATTGACTTAGTAAACCTAATTACCTAATTTAGCCTCCACTTAAGCAATAATGTCAATGAAATCACGACTTTGTGGTGCCCATTATCTATATTTCTAATGAATGTTAAAATAAATGCATAGCTATTGAACTACAAAGAATTTCTGATCCTACTAAAATCATTCTTTGTAATTCTGATCTGCTTTTTACTCTCTGGATGCGGGGCTGCTTTGGGGCCTGCACTGAGGATTTTCTTAGCAGGAAATAAATGGAGTCTTGGACCACAGGTCATCATTTTTGGACAACCTTGGTGTTAGGATATAAATTAAAGGATGTAGAAGAATCTCTTTACCTCTATTTTACCTTCTAGTAACCGCAATTTGGAAGATTTTTATTGTGCCCCCCCCCCAAATGGGGCATTATTAGAAATGCAAAATTTAACAGGTACCTATGGTAGGCAGGAGAAAAGTGATTGTAAAGCAATACCAACTTTGCCTCCTTCTGCGGAATACAGATGTGTTATTTTCTAAATTCAGGAAGCGTTCCTTAGTTAGCCACACAAGGAGCCGAGAGACTTGTGACATTTCCAAGCCTCTGCTGTAGCTGCTTGTTTGCATTTCATCTTTGCCATGTTGACATCCACATCGCAGCTCTGTTCTGATGCTTTTGACAGCTGTCCGGAGAGAGTGACCAAAGAGAACGGCAGGTGCTGTTGTGCAAAAGGCTCAGGTTTGATACCTGGGCCAGCAAGGGGATGGGCACTGTGAAACTGAATGCCTGCTCCTCTTCCTGGAGGGATAAAGGAAATGGCCAATCGCTTTCCTTCTGGAAGCATGGGGACTTTGGTGCTTATCAAACAATGATGGCAACTATGTTTCTATTTATTTAACAGATCTGAATGAGAGGAGTGGAGGGGGCTCTTGGGACAGGAAACTCCACTGGGTAATTCCCAATTCTGTGCCCTCTCTCAGGTTCTTGAGCAAAATGGGAAATGGTTCAGTGAAACCCAAACATTCCAAGCATCCAGATGGCCACTCGGGGAACCTCACCAACGATGCCCTGCGGAGCAAGGTGACAGAGCTGGAGAAGGAGCTGAGGAGGAAGGATGCGGAGATCCAAGAGCGGGAGTACCATCTGAAGGAGCTGCGGGAGCAGCTGTCGAAGCAGACTGTGGCCATTGCCGAGCTCACAGAGGAGCTGCAGAACAAGTGCATCCAGCTGAACAAGCTGCAGGACGTGGTGCACATCCAGGGTGGCAGCCTGCTGCAGGTCTCCCCAGATAGGGTGCCCCTGGAGGTGCACCGGAAGACCTCGGGGCTGGTCTCTCTCCATAGCAGGAGGGGAGCCAAGGCGGGGGTGTCTGCCGAGCCAACAACCCGAACCTATGACCTCAACAAACCTCCTGAATTTTCCTTTGAGAAAGCAAGAGTCAGAAAGGACTCCAGGTAAGCAGTTCCCACACTCTTGTGACTTACATGGCCTTAACATTACGCAACACTAGAGTGAAATTCATCAAGTCTCCTCAATGGTAAAGAACATATTTCTCCTTTCAGATTTGGGGATAGAGGAACTTCTAAAAATGGTTTTGTCTTGCAAAAGGGTCTCCCTTTAAGGAGAACTTTTCTTTAAAGCATAAACTGTGCTTTACCTGGATATTGATTTGTGATATGTACAACTGAGGAACTGAGTTTACGAAAGTAATTTCCATTGTCTTAAAAACCGTAGGGGAGTGAAGAGGTAATTCGAGGATGTCCACCCTTCTTTCTTTTTATAGGAATGGACTTAAAAGTGTACACAAATTACAAAGAATTGTGAATATGTATAGCAAAGCCACTAACTAGCACTTAATCTGTGAGTGTTATGAAAAAGGAATAAGCTGGCCCGACCAGTGTGGCTCAGTGGTTGATTGTCGACCATGCCGGCTTGCTTCCCGGTCAGGGCACATGCCCAGGTTGTGGGGTATATATGCAGGAGGTGGCCAATCGATGTTCTCTCATCAATGTTTCTCTCTCTCTCCCCCTCCCTTCCTCTCTTTCTAAAATCAATAAAGAAAAAAAAAAAAAGGAATAAGCTGGAACCTTAGAAGGGGATGAATTCATTCATTCACCCCCTAGTTCAGATTGAGTACTATGCTACTTTCTCCCATCCACTGTTAGATGCTAAGTGCATATCAGTGATTAAATAGACACAAAGCTTTTCTCAGGGAGAGACAGACAGTGTATATGGAAACAAGTAAATGCTATATAATTATTAATTGGGATAAATGATGTGATGGAAACCAATGTATGGTGGCTGCTGTCTGGGATTACAGGGAAAGAAGGGCAAAGAGGCAACAGAGTTGGAATTATCATGGAGGCCTGCCTGAGGAGGTGACCTTTAACTGAGACCCAGAGGAAGAAAAGGAGCATAAATGAGGTGGAAAGGGCGTGTCAGGCAGAGGGAACAAATAAAAGCTAGAATTAATTTTAAAAATAGGATTTTTAACAGAACATGTAAATATTTACCACAGCATTCTTGTATGTGGTGTGTGTGTGTGTGTGTGTGTGTGTGTGTGTGTGTGTGAATTTCCTACCCAGGAAAGATTGACTAGAAACATCATGAATTAGAGTTTCTTTTCCACAATTTTTTTATTTTTATTTATTAAAAAAATTTTTTTCTTTATTAATTTTAGAGAGAGAGGAAGGGAGAGTGAGAGAGAGATAGAAACATCATTGAAAGAGAACATCAATTGGCCGCCTCTTGCATGGCCCCCATTGGGGATTTGGCTTATAGCCTGGGCATGTGCCCTGACTGGGAATGGAACCAGTGACCTCTTGGCGCATGGGTCTATGCTCAACCACTGAGCCACACCAGCCAGGCATGAGTTAGGGCCTCCTTTCCGCATTATTTTTAAATAAGTAAGTATTTATGAATTGAAATTAGATCTTTTGCCTTGATAATGTCTTGGCTAAGCCTGGGTCTCTTGCAAAATGCAAGATTTATAATACTAAAACAAATTTTACTTTATTCACTGATACAAGTAATACAAATAAAGATAAAACATCTGACTTAAACAAATAAATGATTAATTTTGACAATAGATGTAAAGGCAGGTTTAATGAATTAGTTTGTTGACAGTACTTGACACATAGTGAATGATCAATAAGTATTTGTTAGGGAAACAAGTCATGCTGGCTTCTTAATTATATTAGTCTGTGGCTGAAAGAAATCTGATAGTTCAGAAGAGTGTTTTTAAGTCAAGATTTTAAATTATTAGTTGGTTTAGAAGGGGTTTATTTATTCCTTTTAATAACTACTTATTATTAATAGTCCAAATTTACAAATTATAAATGTTATAAACTTATATTTGTTTTTAAAAAATTGAACATCATCTGGTGTTTTCTTCAGATATATCAGAAATAAATGCACATATAGCAATATTAAATATGCATTATATTACAATATATGTATATGTAAGCACAATATATTATTTACTCACAGAAAATCTCTCAAATAGCAATGAGCTTGTATATCTAGGAGAAGTATTAGAGAATGAATTCAGATTATGTTTAATTGTTTTGTTCCAAAGACTTATGTCCTTCTTAAGCAAAACACTATTCTTGTATAGGAATATATCCTAAGAATCCTGAAACACAAATCAGAAAGAATATATGTACCTCTATGCTCATAGCAGTGCTATTTACAATAGCTAAGATCTAGAAACAGCCAAAGGGCCTACTGGTAGATAAGTGGATAAAAAAGCTATAGTACATCTACACAATGAAATACTATGCAGGTGTAAAAAAGAGAGCTCTCTTACCCTTTGCGATGGCATGGAGTAACCTGGAGAGTATTATGCTAAGTGAAATAAGTCAGTCAGAGAAAGACAAATATCACATGCTCTCACTTATAAGTGGAATCTAATGAACAAAATAAACTGATGAACAAAATAGATCCAGTGACAAGCCTCAGAGGGAAAAAATGGAGGCAGGAAGAGATTACCAAAGAATTTATAGCATATATACATAACCCATGGACACAGACAATAGTGTGGTGAAGGCCTGGAGGGGGGCAGAAATGGAGTGGAGGGTGTCAATGGGGGATAAAAGGGAAAGTATCTGTAATACTTTCAATAATAAAGATAAATTTTTAAAAAACCACCATTCTTCTGGTGTTAGGTAACTGAACAATCCAAGATAAACATATTTTTTTGTAATTCTTTTTTTTTTGTTGTTAAATCCTCACCCGAGGATATTTTTCCATTTATCTTCAGACCGAGTGGGAGGGGGAGAGAGAGAGAAACATCGATGTGAGAAAGACACAACAATTGGTTGCCTCCTGCGTGACCCCGACCAGGGCCGGGGAATGAACCACAACCAAGGTATGTGCCCTTGACTGGAATCTAACTTGAGACTCTTTGGTTATCAGGCCAATGCTCTAACCACTGAGAAAACTGGCCAGGGCTCTTTGTAATTCTTTATTAACTGTATTACAACTGGGCAAAGAAAATCAGCAATTACACCTGGGCCATACCATCTATCTATAGTGAGTGGGACATAGGAGGGGAAAGACATTATAGCCCTTAAATAAGGTTTAGTAATGATTCCCCTCATCATAAAAGCAAGCCAAAGGGATACAAGTCTGTGCTGAGGTTATGATGAAGAAACAGGCTAATTGACTTCTTAATGATTAATTCCTGCTTTTATAGAGCTTTGTGATTCTAAATTGAAAATTAATTAGAATATGGGCACCACTCTTTTTTCTTTAACTGATTTGTGCCTCATGTGTGAAGTTTGTGCCTCAATTTTTCTTGCAAAATATCTCTCTGCTTACCTCTGGAATAATTGGCTAAACAAAGGTAACATCATCAGTTCAGAGCTTTCAAAGTTTTTAGTTTTTAAAGAAATGCTCAATATTACAAACCACTTTTCCATTTTCAAAGTTTCAGTTTTAAAGAAAACCTATAAGTAAACTTTGGATGATTTTATATATCTTTTATGCAGTTTATGAAGAATTTTGTAAGACATGATTTTCTAGACGTTAGATCATTAAAAAGATAGGAGCATCAAAAACTGATAAAGGGATGATGTCAGTTTCCATTGGTTTGGTTACTTGTCTAGGCAGTTCTGTTAGATAGTACAGCATTTAAGATACCCATCAAAATTGTTCCTTCATTTAATTTTACGTTCACATGATTTATTTGTTGAAATTTTATAAACTTTTCTGGCTGAATTTATGACTAAATTCACTCCTGCTAATACGAGTCAACTACATTTTAGATAAAGTCTCTTCTCCACCCTGGATCTGAAAGCCAGAGAGGCTTTTCAGTCTTTTTGTCAAAGAGGGTATTTCTGATGAATACTTAACAGTGAGCAAGAAAGTGAGGGGAGACTCAGCCTCTTGCAATCAACAATAGTAGGGAGGTAGGAAGTACTGATAGGAATCAGAGAATACCATTTGGGAGAATGATAGATTTGCATTTTGAGGATTCAGATTCAATAATTCACCAGAAACTCTAAAACCCATGCCACAACAGTCTGTGAGTTTGCTGAGGCCCCAGTGCTCAACTGTATTATAAATGGCAAGTGAACCTCATCAGCTGTCAGGCAGCATGCTCTTGCTCTGTTGCCCTATACCCATCAAGTGTACTTGTAGTTCCTGAAGGAGTAGGTCAGAGTTACACTTCCTTGTTTTCTTTATGTGGAGGGATTTATATGCTCTACTGGCATTGAGCAACCCTTGGAATTTGTCTTTTGCAAAAGTCAAGGCTCAACTTTTTAAGATCAGGTTCTAGAATAATTCAGTGGTGTCCAATAGAACTTTGTGCAAGGCTGGAAATGTTCTGTAATCTGTGTTGTCCAGTATGGAAGCCAACAGAAGAATGTGACTGTTGAGCACTGGAAATGTGGCTAGAGCCCCTGAGGAATTGAATGCTTGACTTTAATTTTAAAATGAAATAGCCACCTGTATCTAATGGCTACTGTATTGGAAAATGGCATTCTACACTTTTTTTTTTTTTTTTTTTTTACCATAACCGCTATCCCCTGAGATGAGAATTATGACCTAGTGAAGTTTGGGAAAACTTTTTAGACAAAGTGAGACCTGTGTTCAGTTTTAGGACAGAGCTGCAGGAAACAGTGTGTGCCTGTCAGATAGAGGTGGGCGCAATGTGGAATCGTTCGTAAGTTGCATTAAACCTGCAGTGTACGATGGCAGTTTGTGGTGCTTTGGCTTTGTGCCACTGACCTTGTTAGATCTGCAGGAACATACAGCTGTGTGGGAATGTGGCCCACTTCTATTACAGGTACTCAGTCTTCCTGAAGTATCGTCCATCATGATGAGTCAGAGCACTACAGGTTATCAGCCTGACCTCTGCCTTAAATTTATTGTGGTGAACATCAGCAGACTTGAGAGCTAGAAGAACCTTAGAGATTGTATGCTTCCCCATTTACTGGACAAGTGAGGA